TTCCCTATGGCAGTGTCCTGCACTGAGCACAGCAGAGCAATTACCTTTTCCATCTCAAAGACAAAACCGTCGGCTTTGTCTCCCAGCACCACCTTGGCTTTCTGTGCAAAAACACCACTGTGCTGATAAAAACCCAGCTTGGGAACCACTACAGCCCTTGGCCTTTTCCCAAAGAAAAGATCATGGTCCTGTCCAGATGCTGTTGATTAGTCCTCTGTGCCTTCCTCTTTGCCATTTGGAACGTTAATCCCTCCTTTGCAGGCTTGCAGCCCCTCCTATTTTGGTACTACCCACAAACACAAACACTTTTTTATTTTCCTGCATGCATGTGAGAAGGATGAGATCAGAATATGAAGCCCACCAGTATTTCCTTTTACCACTACCAGGAACATATTTATGTTGCACATTAACTGACTTTACCTAAGAGAACCCAACAACTCTCACCTAACATCCATCTCTTTCATAAGCCATTTCTGCACTTTAATATACTGCCTCGCTGCAACACATGTTAAAACTGTATGCAGTAAGTAGCTCATAGTAGGAAATCATATTAACCGTCTGGCCTAGAAATGACAAGTGAAGTGTGGATAAGAATGTCAGCACTCCCCACAGAAATATATTCAAACAGGCAGAAATCATTCCTTATGTAATAGAGAGCAAACAAATAAATCCAGGATATCTCAGAAACAGTGGTGGGACATTAACATGTTTAAAAAACCCTGGTAACAAGGAAAGAGAGGAGAATGTCAGATGGAAGGATACTGCTGCTTCTGTGTGCAGCAACAGTATTTTCTTCAAGTATGTAGCATACAATAGGCGAGCGTCAGGAGGAAGGAGCTAGGCTCTTCTCTATGATGTCCAAGGGGCAATGGGTGCAAGCTGGAGCATAGGAGGTTCAACCTGAGCATAAGGAAAAACTTTTTTACTGTAAGGGTTACGGAGCACTGGAACAGGCTGCCCAGGGAGGTTGTGGAGTCTCCTTCTCTGGAGACATTCAAAACCCGCCTGGAC